ATTTCACAATCATTTCCAAAAAAACGCTGAAAAAATAATGATTTGCTTGAAATATATATATACTTCGTAACTGAAACAAGTTTTAACTTTATTTGAACTAATTTTTATTTTAAATCACTTAGTTTTTGTTGTTGTTGCTGCTGTTTGCTGGTTGATTTCTTAAGAAATCCAAAAAGTATTTACTTCAATAAATTAATCAGCTATAGAGCAAGAGAGAATGTACAAAATATTTTATTAAAAAAAAACAAGTTTTGGTATTTCGTATTTTGCAAAAAAAGGCTTGCCTGTAACTTTTAGCAAAAAAAAAAAAAATCTTGATAAATTGTCAAGATTAACTTTAAGAATATAATATTTTTTTTGGTTTGCATAATTTGTCTTAAAATTGAAATTTAGTTTTGTCTGTTATCTGTTTTAATAATACTGGGAATTTGTTTATGAATTATTAGTGGTTTCTAAATTACCTAAAGAAACCAAAGTACTTCAATATTTACCTATCAATTTTCTGTTCTACTGTTTCTACTTTTGATTATTCAATTGTTGTTGATAATGTTTAATTTAGTGTCGGATTTCTTATCACTATTATTTTGTATTTCAATGTCAATATTGCAAAATTTTGCTAAAACGCCAAGAAATTATCAATAGTTTTGTGATAATTGGAGCACACGATGAATTTTAAATGCACCTTAGAAGTGATGAGGTAATTTTTAGAAAAAAAAAACAAAATTTGATTATAAATTTTTTCTAGAGAAGCAGCAACATAATGTCTGTTTCATATCAAATCTAAGAGTTTTCTAGTTCTAGTTTAAATCTAGTTCAGTTCTAGTTTAGTTCTAGGTCAGTTCTGGCTCAGTTCTAGTTCAGCTCTAATTCTGTTCTAGTTCTGTTCTAGTTCAGTTCTAGTTCTAATTCTGTTCTAGTTCTGATCTAGTTCTGTTCTAGTTCTGTTCTAGTTCTGTTCTAGTTCTGTTCTAGTTCTGTTCTAGTTCTGTTCTAGTTCTGTTCTAGTTCTGTTCTAGTTCTGTTCTAGTTCTGTTCTAGTTCTGTTCTAGTTCTGTTCTAGTTCTGTTCTAGTTCTGTTCTAGTTCTGTTCTAGTTCTGTTCTAGTTCTGTTCAAGTTCTGTTCTAGTTCTGTTCTAGTTCTGTTCTAGTTCTGTTCTAGTTCTGTTCTAGTTCTGTTCTAGTTCTGTTCTAGTTCTGTTCTAGTTCTGTTCTAGTTCTGTTCTAGTTCCGTTCTAGTTCTGTTCTAGTTATGTTCAAGTTATGTTCTAGTTATGCTCTAGTTATGTTCTAGTTATGTTCTAGTTCTGTTCTAGCTCTGCTCTAATTCTGCTCTAATTCTGTTCTAGTTTTGTTCTAGTTTTGTTCTAGTTCTGTTGTAGTTCTGTTCAAGTTCTATTCTAGTTCTGTTCTAGTTCTGTTCTAGTTCTGTTCTAGTTCTGTTCTAGTTCTGTTCTAGTTCTGTTCTAGTTCTGTTCTAGTTCTGTTCTAGTTCTGTTCTAGTTCTGTTCTAGTTCTGTTCTAGTTCTGTTCTAGTTCTGTTCTAGTTCTGTTCTAGTTCTGATCTAGTTCTGTTCTAGTTCTGTTCTAGTTCTAGTTCTGTTCTAGTTCTGTTCTAGTTCTATTCTAGTTCTCTTATAGTTCTGTTCTAGTTCTGTTCTAGTTATGTTCTAGTTCTGTTCTAGTTCTGTTCTAGTTCTGTTCTAGTTCTGTTCTAGTTCTGTTCTAGTTCTGTTCTAGTTCTGTTCTAGTTCTGTTCTAGTTCTGTTCTAGTTGTTCTACTTCTGTTCTAGTTCTGTTCTAGTTCTGTTCTAGTTCTGTTCTAGTTCTGTTCTAGTTCTGTTCTAGTTCTGTTCTAGTTCTGTTCTAGTTCTGTTCTAGTTCTATTCTAGTTCTGTTCTAGTTCTGTTCTAGTTCTGTTCTAGTTCTGTTCTAGTTCTGTTCTAGTTCTGTTCTAGTTCTGTTCTAGTTCTGTTCTAGTTCTGTTCTAGTTCTGTTCTAGTTCTGTTCTAGTTCTGTTCTTGTTCTGTTCTAGTTCTGTTCTTGTTCTGTTCTAGTTCTGTTCCAGTTCTGTTCTAGTTCTGTTCTATTACAGTTCCGTTCTAGTTCTGTTGTAGTTTTGTTCTAGTTCTGTTCTAGTTCTGTTCTAGTTCTGTTCTAGTTCTGTTCTAATTCTGTTCTAGTTCTGTTCTAGTTCTGTTCTAGTTCTGTTCTAGTTCTGTTCTAGTTCTGTTCTAGTTCTGTTCTAGTTCTGTTCTAGTTCTGTTCTAGTTCTGTTCTAGTTCTGTTCTAGTTCTGTTCTAGTTCTGTTCTAGTTCTGTTCTAGTTCTGTTCAAGTTCTAGTTCTGTTCTAGTTATGTTCTAGTTCTAGTTATGTTCTAGTTCTGTTCTAGTTCTGTTCTAGTTCTGTTCTAGTTCTGTTCTTGTTCTGTTCTAGTTCTGTTCTTGTTCTGTTCTAGTTCTGTTCCAGTTCTGTTCTAGTTCTGTTCTATTACAGTTCCGTTCTAGTTCTGTTGTAGTTTTGTTCTAGTTCTGTTCTAGTTCTGTTCTAGTTCTGTTCTAGTTCTGTTCTAGTTCTGTTCTAGTTCTGTTCTAGTTCTGTTCTAGTTCTGTTCTAGTTCTGTTCTAGTTCTGTTCTAGTTCTGTTCTAGTTCTGTTCTAGTTCTGTTGTAGTTCTGTTCAAGTTCTGTTCTAGTTCTGTTCTGTTCTGTTCTAGTTCTGTTCTAGTTCTGTTCTAGTTCTGTTCTAGTTCTGTTCTAGTTCTGTTCTAGTTCTGTTCTAGTTCTGTTCTGTTCTAGTTCTGTTCTAGTTCTGTTCTAGTTCTGTTCTAGTTCTGTTCTAGTTCTGTTCTAGTTCTGTTCTAGTTCTGTTCTAGTTCTGTTCTGTTCTAGTTCTGTTCTAGTTCTGTTCTGTTCAAGTTCTGTTCTAGTTCTGTTCTAGTTCTGTTCTAGTTCTGTTCTAGTTCTGTTCTAGTTCTGTTCTAGTTCTGTTCTAGTTCTGTTCTAGTTCTGTTCTAGTTCTGTTCTAGTTCTATTCTAGTTCTGTTCTAGTTCTGTTCTAGTTCTGTTCTAGTTCTGTTCTAGTTCTGTTCTAGTTCTGTTCTAGTTCTGTTCAAGTTCTGTTCTAGTTCTGTTCTAGTTCTGTTCTAGTCCTTTTCTAGTTCTGTTCTAGTTCTGTTCTAGTTCTGTTCTAGTTCTAGTTCTGTTCTAGTTCTGTTCTAGTTCTGTTCTAGTTCTGTTCTAGTTCTGTTCAAGTTCTGTTTTAGTTCGATTTTCGTTCTGTTTTCGTTCTATTCCAGTTCAGATCTTGACCGTTGATATAAAGTATCCGGAGCTTAGTCTCTGATTCAATGTTAGATAATATTTTTTTCATTTTGAAAAGGAAATTTAAAAAACATACGTAAATATTTAAATTATCTAAAAAAAATAATTTAATTATCAGACATTTTAATGACAAAACCTCTATTATTTTTCGTATTTATTTAATTTAGACATAAACATATTGTACTTAATCAAAATAAATATTAGTTTATAAATATGTGCACTTCAATAATAAATACCTATAAAAAATACTATTATTATGATTATTATTTTTTATTTATTTTATCAATTTCATAGGTGAAGGACTTTTTTTTTATTATTTGGCAAATCATAGAGACACTTTGAAATAATTTCTATAAAAAAAAATTAAATTAAATTTTTGCACAAGATATGCAAAAGACTTAACGAAAAAAAATTTCCAATTTGATAAAAAATTAAATGAAATAAAAATAAATAAAAAAAAAACACTTGAAAATGTCAGGGTAGTATATAAAAAAAATTTATAATTTTTTAATGATTTAACTAAAAAATAGTAGATATCTAAGAAAATTTATAATGAAATTAATTTCTTTTGGAAACTTATCGTCTGCAGCAAGTTTTAAGGGGAATCTTATATTATTACAATTTAAAAAAAAGTGATAAATAGTTTCAAGAAGTGTGTTCCACAAGCACTTGAGCACAAGATGGATAAGATAAGTGACTGGGGCAGGGACTTTTATATAAATGGCTGGCCAACTGACTGACTATTGCGAAAAAATGGGGTTCAATGCAATCAATACCAAAATAAGTTAAGCACGACACTACTTAAATAGACGTTGAGTTGAGTTAATGATGAAGATTTGTTTGAAATTAAAAGCAATGACAAGTATTTCAATACACGGCCATTTTGTTTCTTTTTTTTTACAAAATTCAGCATTGATATTGATTTGCTTTTGCAATAGCTTCTTTTGATTATTTATAATAAATATGGAATTCCCATTGGTTATTCAAAATAAACTTATCTATAATTATTTATTAAAAAAAAAACTTTCTATTAGATTTTAAGGTTAGATTATTTAAATTTAAAAATAACTTTTTTTTTGAAAATAAAACTAATGCTGGTAGAACCCTTCCCCCCGAAAAAAAAGAGTACTTGAAATAGAAAACATACAATTTCATTGAACAGCACAAAAACTCATGTAGACAAAAATTTTACAAAACAAAAAATAAAATATATTATTAATAATAATGAAATGAAAACCCCACAACTAAGAGTAAAACTGATAAGATATCAACTGAAACAAAACAACAGAAACAATTCATTAAACAGCCATACATACCCACTCTATACAAACTTATGAAAATTTACAGCAAAACATTTAGAAAAAATTAAAAAAAAAAAATATAAAATCTAAAACGCTCTTCCTCAGCTATAAAAAAAAATTAACAACTTTACGTGTTTTTTATAAATATTTTTTGTTATTTTTATAAAAAAAACTGTTCACTGCAAACAGATACGCTGCTAGTAGAAAGATTTGAAATTGTTCTCATTTGTTTGGGGGTTGTTGGTTGTACATGAAAATGCAATTTTCATATTTTTCATTAATTTTTATATAATTTTTTTTTTTTATAAATATCATTTTATCATATACTCTTTTTTATTCTAAATGTAGTACAATATAATTTTAATATAGTTTTCTATTTAATAATTTGTTTTTCATGTTTTGTGTGTGTGTGTTTTGTTTGTTTATTTATTTACAGACCGATTCATTGAAATTGTCAACTGATAGCGATATGCACGATTGGTTTTTAGAACGAGATGTCAAAGATGCTGCAGTTATACTCAATGACAAATTAATATCGGATGCTCTATTGAATGGCACACTACCAATTAAATCGGAACACTCCTACAGTCTTAATAGCGATGGAGATTCTCTGCCAGATTCACCACACAGTCTCCATACTAAAATGGATGGTGAGTAAAAGAAATTAAAGCAAACAAAATTCAAGGTCTCTTTTTCAAATTTAAATTGAAATGTTCTAGTGCAGTTCTAGTTCAGTTCTTGTTCTGTTCTAGTTCAGTTCTAGTTCAGTTCTAGTTCAGTTCTAGTTCAGTTCTAGTTCAGTTCTAGTTCAGTTCTAGTTCAGTTCTAGTTCTGTTCTAGTTCTGTTCTAGTTCTGTTCTAGTTATGTTCTAGTTCTGTTCTAGTTCTGTTCTAGTTCTGTTCTAGTTCTGTTCTAGTTCTGTTCTAGTTCTGTTTTAGTTCTGTGCTAGTTCAGTTCTAGTTCAGTTCTAGTTCAGTTCTGTTCTAGTTCAGTTCTAGTTCAGTTCTAGTTCAGTTCTAGTTCAGTTCTAGTTCAGTTCTAGTTCAGTTCTAGTTCAGTTCTAGTTCAGTTCTAGTTCAGTTCTAGTTCAGTTCTAGTTCAGTTCTAGTTCAGTTAGTTCTAGTTCAGTTCTAGTTCAGTTCTAGTTCAGTTCTAGTCCATTTGTAGTCCAGTTCTAGTTCATTACTAGTTTAGTTCTAGTTCAGTTCTAGTTCAGTTCTAGTTCAATTCTAGTTCAGTTCTAGTTCAGTTCTAGTTCTGTTCTAGTTCAGTTCTAGTTCTGTTCTAGTTCTGTTCTAGTTCTGTTCTAGTTCTGTTCTAGTTCTGTTCTAGTTCTGTTCTAGTTCTGTTCTAGTTCTGTTCTAGTTCTGTTCTAGTTCTGTTCTAGTTCTGTTCTAGTTCTGTTCTAGTTCTGTTCTAGTTCAGTTCTAGTTCAGTTCTAGTTCAGTTTTAGTTCAGTTCTAGTTCTGGTTCAGTTCTAGTTCTGGTTCAGTTCTAGTTCAGTTCTATTTCAGTTCTATTTCAGTTCTATTTCAGTTCTAGTTCAGATCTAGTTCAGTTCTAGTTCAGTTCTAGTTCTGTTCCAATTCTGTTCTGGTTCTGTTCTAGTTCAGTTCTTGTTCAGTTCTAGTTCAGTTCTAGTTCAGTTCTAGTTCAGTTCTAGTTCAGTTCTAGTTCAGTTCTAGTTCAGTTCTAGTTCAGTTCTAGTTCAGTTCTAGTTCAGTTCTAGTTCAGTTCTAGTTCAGTTCTAGTTCAGTTCTAGTTCAGTTCTAGTTCTGTTCTAGTTCTGTTCTAATTCTGTTCTAGTTCTGTTCTTGTTGTGTTCTAGTTCTGTTCTAGTTCTGTTCTAGTTCTGTTCTAGTTCTGTTCTAGTTCTGTTCTAGTTCTGTTCTAGTTCTGTTCTAGTTCTGTTCTAGTTCTGTTCTAGTTCTGTTCTAGTTCTGTTCTAGTTCTGTTCTAGTTCTGTTCTAGTTCTGTTCTAGTTCTATTCTAGTCTTGTTCTAGTTCTGTTCTAGTTCTGTTCTAGTTCTGTTCTAGTTCTATTCTAGTCTTGTTCTAGTTCTGTTCTAGTTCTGTTCTAGTTCTAGTTCTGCTCTAGTTCTGTTCTAGTTCTGTTCTAGTTCTGTTCTAGTTTTGTTCTAGTTCTGTTCTAGTTCTGTTCTAGTTCTGTTCTAGTTCTGTTCTAGTTCTGTTCTAGTTCTGTTCTAGTTCTGTTCTAGTTCTGTTCTAGTTCTGTTATAGTTCTAGTTCAGTTCTGTTCTAGTTCAGTTCTGTTCTAGTTCAGTTCTAGTTCTGTTCTGAATTAATTTAGTTCTAGATAGGTTCTGAATTAGTTCTAGATCTGTTCTAGTTCAGTTCGTAACTAGTTCTGTTCTGATCTAGTTCGTAACTAGTTCTGTTCTGATCTAGTTCTGAACTAGTTCTGTTCTAGTTCTGTTCTAGTTCCGTTCTAGTTCTATTCTAGTTCTATTCTAGTTCTGTTCTGTTCTATTTCTGTTCTAGCTCTGTTCTAGTTCTTTTCTAGTTCTATTTTCATTCTAAATCAGCTGCAGTTCAGTTCAGGAATACATGTTCCTCTATTTTTCATTTGATTTATTTAATAATCATTAAAAATGAAAACAAACGAACTGAAACACTTGTACAATTTAAAAATTTTAAAACAAATTAGTAAAGAAAGCAAAAAATAACAATCATTAAAATATTAATAAAACAATTAACAGATTTATGTATAAAACAAATAAGTTTTATGAACTGCCATAAAAAATCATTGACTCGTGTTTTAATAAAACAATAAAAAACAAACTGAAAAATCAAAAATAAGCCTAAAAAGTTGACGAAAAAAATATGTAAATAAATATTTATAAACTTAAGAAAAAGAATTAATACATTGTTGAAATATTCTGGTATTGTATTTGGAACAAAACAAGAAGAAAATAAAAGAAAACAACATAAACATTTGAGTAAATATGACTTAAAAAAACAGTTAAAAATATTAACACAAGTGCAAACATGGTTGATTCGTGATGTATGGGATGACGCGTGTTTTCTTTTAGTAGCACATTACGTTGGGCTGCTTATTTCCCAATCCGTTAAATAAATTATCGTATATTTATATAGACAGTTAAGAAAGAAACTGTTGTTCTTATTTAAACAAGTGTTTTATTGTGGCTTTTGTTTTTCATTTCAGACATGGAAGATGAATGCTATCCCGCCATTTCGCTTAAAACTGCTACCAGCAATATAAGGTCTCTTAGCACAGCCACCATAGATCCTAGATGTCTAACAATCACCACCTGCTCACCAATGGCCAGCACCTCAACATCGTTGGCCTCTTCCTCAACAGCAAGTATGTCGGGTTTGAATTTACATCCCTTGGTTTCAACGGCAGCTTCTACCATAACCAGTCAATCAAATCCTACCTTGTCCTCAACAAACAGTAGCCATTCCTCAAATATATATGCTGGTCTGTGTAAAATAGCCACTACCGCACCCATAACGCTCAATTTGCGCCAATTGGACACATGTCAAACATTGAACACCTCCACAGATGCCAAATTGTTGGTGAAACAACAACAACAACAACAGTTACCCGCCTTACATACAACAAACACACAACAGCAGTTTCAAATGCAACAGCAGCAGCAACACCAGCAACAATATCTACCTCATGATGATTTAGTTAATATGATGGATGACTGTGAATCTAGTGTTTCCTCCAGGGAGGGCAGTCAATCACCTGATATTTGCTCAGACATAGAAATCGATGAATCCTGCATTAAAAACGAGCCCATGTCTCCCGATTCTAGCTGTCCCTCTAGTCCTGAGGGAGGCGATGAGTCAGCCGCTAATAACAACTCGAATGGCACTCTTAGTCTAACCATGGCCAATATGGCTGCTTTCACAAATTCCGATCTTGTATTTGAACACAAGGTAATTGAAACGTCTTTGATTTATTTCTTGAAAACAATTTTAACTTTTAATTTGTAAACTTTCTAGGATGGCTGTCTACAACTAACACCCTCTTCACAAAGCCTGCTCAAGTCACAACCCTTTATATTAAGCTCAAGTGCCCACAATGTCATTATACCCAAAATTACCATTAAATCCGAGGGTAATGTAACAAATACCGCTACATTTGTTAACGCCACAACCTCCGTAACAAAAACAAATGCCACCTCGTATGGTTTGCCCTTAACCCCGCCTTCTTCGCACTCCAGTGATGGTTCCGAGGGTAATCTCACACCTGAGCATATGCTATCACCACAATCGCCTACCTCTTCTTCAACATCCGCCGCCGCCAACAACAGCAACACCGCCATCAACAGCAATGCGAGGTCAAGTTCGCAACCAACCAGCGGGGTTTTGACAGTTACCTCCATTAGGCGTAATACCAACAGCTCTGCCTCGTCGACTACCTCCAGCACAAGTTCCAGCGTTAGTATGGGACGTCATGCAAGTGCTGGTGGTGGCTCTACCCGCCAGCCCATACATACACCTTTGATTAGCTCACAGCCAGTAAGTATTTGAGAGTTTGGACATTCAAAGGGCTTGGACAAAGTAATTAATTTGTAATTTAAAACTTTTGTTTTTGCAGAAGGGTTCTACGGGAACTTTACTTTTGACGGAAGAAGAGAAACGTACTCTATTAGCTGAGGGCTATCCCATACCACAAAAGCTACCATTAACCAAAGCTGAGGAAAAGTCATTAAAGAAAATCAGAAGAAAAATCAAAAATAAGGTGAGTTGTAGGAGAGAATTTGAGTAATTTTCATATTTGAAAGGTGCTGTTGAATAATAGGAGATACATTTCCATATTAGTTGACTCTCTGGCTCATGTTGAGTACTTTCTCTTTTAAATATTAATTGTTTAATTTACCTTTCTCTTCACTTTACAGATTTCCGCCCAAGAAAGTAGGCGTAAGAAAAAAGAATATATGGACCAATTAGAACGTAAAGTTGATATTTTAGTTAATGAAAATAACGACTATAAGAAACGTGTCAAAAATCTTGAAGATTCCAATGCCAGCCTACTAAGTCAATTGCACAAATTACAGGCTTTGGTAAACAAACAAAACCTCAAGAAGTCTTAAACGACTCTAAACTGTTACAACAATTTAGGAGAAAAGTAAAACAACAACAACAGCAACATGTTGGTAAACTAAAATATTTAAAAAAAATTGTTCTCATAACATTCCCCCACCCCTCCCCCCTCTCTAACCACTACCCTCCTAAACAAACTCTAATATTTTATTTATTAGACTTAAGACAGGAAATATGTTTAAACTAAAGGCGTTTGTTTAAAAAAAAAACACAAATATTATATAGATTTTACCAATATATTTATATAGAATTATATTTACAACAACAACAAATCAAAATATATTTATGTGTATTAAACAAATAATAAGAGCTTAAAACCAACATTACAAACGCCCACCCGCCCTTTATTATGCTAACTTTAACTTACTTTAATTAGAGAGCTTAAATCTTAAAGTTTAACTCTTTTTTATTTAATAATTTTTATAAAAAAAAACTTTCTGTTTAATTTAAATGTTTTTTCAAGTAGCATTTTTTTAAAAAGATTTTTCATTACTTTTTATTAAACTTATAACTGGCTTAATATATGAAACCAGTAGAAGTAATAGAAGTTGTTAGAAAAAGAAGTGAAACTAGTAAAGAATATTAAGATATTGTTTGACTGCCTCGCTATATGCCAATTATAAATATTTGTCTAGAAATTAAGTTTCGCTAAAAAGTCGTCTTCTATAGAGAACATATTTTTTTTAGTAACAAAAACAAGCAAAGTTAAGTTGAGGTTTTTTAAGCAAAAAATATATAGAAAGAAAATAAATAGAAATGACGTTATGTTTTAATAATGTTCTGCTTTTTGTTAGTTTTTTTTTTTTTGTAATTTGTTTTTTTTTTTTGGGCAAATTTGGCTGATGATCTAAATAATATGGTCCTTCCGTTTTATAGAATTATAAAAAAAAAAAACAACAGAAAAATACATTCCCTGGTCGAAAATAATAAAACTATTTATAGTTAAAGAAACTAGTGTTTTAAAGTTTTAACTAAATTAGTAATTGTCTCTATTAATTGTAAGCAAAGCCACTTAGTTTAATTAGTTTTCTTTTATTTTTAGTTAAACAAAATGAGAAATCTTCTCCGAGCCACTTTAAATATTTGTTTTTAATTCAAGTTTTTATATACATACTACTATATATTAGGTAATATTATTAAATAGAATGTTTTTTGGCAAAACAATTCTTTTAATTTACTTTAAATACTAATTATTTTGCGTATTCAATTAAAGAACAGCAATGAGATGTTAAACAGGATTTTTATAGGAGTAGAAAGTGAGTGTAGATTTGTAAAATATAAGATATTGGATGAGAGTTTTACTCCAATATAAAAATAGTAAAAAATTTGTTAATTTTGGGGAATGTTCCTTCAGGAGTGTTCAGAGGATCTTGCAGCAGCAGCAGATATTGTTCCAATTATTTTTTGCATGGACCAAACTTTGAGCTCCAATTTCCAAGTCATCGAATTTTAACCCAAAACATGCGATCCAATTCAAGTACTTCTTTACACCAAACGAACAAGATTTTCGTATAGAATCCATGAATTTCTTCAATGAGCTAGATAATCAGGCCAATCAGGAACAATTATTCCCCGGGAATTTTGTTCCCTTTAGCTGTAGGAGAGAGAACAACCTCCCAGAGAGTTTATTATCCAGAACAGGCCTGTATTTCTTTTTCTCTCATCTCTACGGAGATTAGTGCAAGTGTCATTCGTATTATCCGATAATCATTATTCTTTTTGTGCCTGATTTGGTGAGAAAACTTTATTGAGTACAAAAACTGCTTAAATATCGCCAATTTTAGACGATTTTATGAAGCTAATAGTATTGTATTTATTGAGTACAAGAATTGATTAGAATGTCATTTGTTAAAGATGATCTTTAGGAGTTAAAAGAATGATCCATGGATTTTCACAATTCTCCGAAACTTTTGAATGTCAAAAGCTCTGCAAATTGTGTTGATATCTGCTTGAAATTTGATGGACTCCTACAGTTTAGTCCACAAATCAACATCAGCTACACTTCAAACAGTAAGTTCTACAAAAAACACTTTTTTCAAAGGGTTATAACTTGCAATTTTGCTTAAAAATTTAACATCTCAAGGCTTAACGGGACATTTATTTGCAATTTATCGTTTATTAATATTATATTAATTTGAAACAAACTCTAAAAAGAGTTCTAAAAAAGGGTTTTTTATGCCTATGAGGCTTAAATAATAAACAGAAAAAAAGCTTTAAATATAATTTGTGTATAAGAAGAAAGGGGAAACAAATAAACGATAATTTTAAAAACAAAGTCTCAAAGATTTCTTTCAATTAAAAAAATAAAAACTGATATTAAAAGCTGTTCTTGAAAACAAACTAAAATTTCCCTCTATAATAATAAAATACATAAATTAAATAATTATTGTTAAGTTTTTTTCCAATAGTTTAAAATAAAAATTATGTAAAAACTTTTTTAGTTTTCTTTTTTTTTTGTGTAATTAGCTATTTAAGTTACAGCATGTTGATTTATTTTAATTAAAGCTAAGAATTTATTACTTTGTAAACAAACACACACACAAACACAACAAAAAATACATTTTATTATTTTATAATAATAAAAAAAACAAACACCAGGAATTGTATGAAACGAAATTTAAAAGAAATGCATGTTGAGGTATAATGAGAGTGAATGTTTGATTTTGTTAAATAGTCCAATTTTTAAATAAATTTTAATAAATAACAAGAATTTAAATGAATGTAATGAAAAATCATAAGATTTTTTTTGCTGTTAATAATGATATTGATTTTAATTTAAAGAAATATATATATTTTAATAAAATTATTTAATAATAAATTTTAAAATCCAAAAATATTATAATTTTTGTTCCGCTTTAAATAAAAATCATGTTACATACGCATAAACGTATTTTAGTTGCAGTCGAAAGAGTCATAATTTTTTAAGTTTTTATTACTTTTTATTTAATTTTTGTGAAGTTTTTTTTTAGAAGAATTTATATTAAATTATTATTATATAAATGTAATTTGTTTTTTTTTTTAGGATTCATTAAATCCTTATTTTCTTTAATAATTGAAATACCATAACTTTAATTTTGGTTTGACCATATAAAACAATTTAATTACTTTTTGATATTTTCTTTAGAATTCAATAATTTGTATAAATTCTACACAATTTTATGTGCAATTTCTTAGTTAAATTTTGTTCGCAATGAACAATTAATTTTATTGGTTTTAAAATTATTTTTTTCACTTGTTTTCTTAAAAACGAGGCGCAATATTTTTTATAAAAATTATTACTTAATATTATTTGCAAAAAAAAAAAAAAAAACATTTTTTATTGTATTTTTTTATATGTATGTATATTTATTAAATACACAATGTTGCATTATTTAATTAAAACAAAAAAACGTTAAGGAGTATGTAATTGAAATGTAACGAATTAAAACTATTAATTATTAAACAAACAAATATGAAAAAAAATCAAAATTATGTAAATATTTACCACAAAAAAATAGAAAACTTAAATATATTAAACGAAAAAAAAAATATTTTCAGAATAAATTGTAATTTATATTTAAACAACAACAACAAAAAAACTGAGGAAGTATATACACAAAAACTTACCTATGACAACAACAAGAAAGTACTATATATACAAATATTATTTTTTTCAAAATAAAGTGCAATTCAAAAATTATATATTTTACAGCAAACAAAAACAAACGAAATTTTTCAATTTTAAAAAGAAAGAAAAAAGTAAGTAAGAAAAGCTAAACAAAAAAAATTATAAAATTCTAATAATTTTCTTCTTTATATAAAGAAAACTCTATAAAGAATTTTAAATTTTTCTAATTTTCAATCCATTTCCAGAATTTCAACTTTATTTCTCCAAAAACTACAGTAAACAGTTAATAAGAATGCTAAATTTTACTTTATTAACATCATTTTTATATGTTTCAACTAATTTCCTGTATTTAAACTTAATATCCGTTGAAAACTACAGGAAATAACTAATAAAAATGGTAGCTTTCCTTTATTTAACAGGAAATGTCAGAATATTTGAATTTAAATGAACTTGGTTTCACTTCTACTTTTGCGTTTACTTTCAATTCCTCTCTTTATGACAAAACTTGGCATTACCTCTCTATTAAAATCATCATTCACAATAGTCAACGACTAATAACAACTTGGCATTACTTTTTGAGCTCAACACAAGTTTTTTTTATAAGTAATCACAATAGAAAAGAAGAGCAAGAGAAAGAAAAAAGAGAACACTTGCAAACAAATGCACACACACATATATGCAAGTAAAACAAACAAAAAAGCAAAGAAAACTTAACAAAAGTTAATAAATGTTTTTGCACAAAATTAACTAAACTAATGCAACAAACTTGTAGATAACTAGTTTATAGCAACATTACAACAACAACTATTCATTTGGTAAACTAAATTTACAATGCGCCGGTATTTTTTGGTCACTTGTTGAAGTGGGAGCCTCCATAACAAGGAGACAGCAGACGTATTTGCAGACACAACTAAACTATGCAAACATTTCTTAAGTCCTATAGCAACAACTTTAGAACAAGCTTACAACAACAATTACTATATTAAAAACATTTATAAAACACCTGAGTTTGTAGGGCACACAATGGAATGGCAGCCTCCATTACTATGGCAAGCAGCAGACACTTTTAGTAAACTTTACTTTTCTACAACTTGTTATTGCTTTTAATTATGCACTTACAACTTTGTTGTCATATTGTAATGCAAATAATTTTAACAAAAATGAAACTACCACTCACCCCGGCCAACCACATCCTAGAGGAGACACCAGTTGTTTGCTCGTTTACGATAAGTCTTCCACAGCTTCTACACATATTGCCTGAAGAATAACACATTTACATAAACACTTTTACACAAACTTTACGAATACAAAACAATATTTATTAGTTAAAAACACTTTTTCACAAATTTTATTTATTAAACTAAAAAAGCGGCAAATAATTTGCCAAAAAACACTTGCACAAAGTAAAAGAGATGAATAGAACTAAAGAAAATGTCCGTTATATTGAAACAGTGTTAACAACCCAACAAAAGTAAAAAATCGCTGCAACTAATAAAATATAACGATTTTAGAGATTTTAAAAACTGAAAATTATATTTTCGTGAAAAAATAAAACAAAATTTGGTGAAAACTTTATATAAAAAGGAAATTTAGTGAAAACTTTGTATAAAAAGGAAATTTAGTGAAAACTTTGTATAAAAAGGAAATTTAGTGAAAATTTACAATAAAAAGGAAATTTGGTGAAAATTTTTTATAAAAAGGAAATTTGGTAAAAATTTATTATAAAAAGAAAATTTTATGAAAATTTACTATAAAAAGGAAATTTGGTGAAAATTTCCTATAGAAAGGGAATTTTATGAAAATTTCCTATAGAAAGGGAATTTTATGAAAATTTCCTATAGAAAGGGAATTTTATGAAAATTTCCTATAGAAATGGAATTTTGTGAAAATTTCCAATAGAAAGGGAATTTTGTGAAAATTTCCAATAGAAAGGGAATTTTGTGAAAATTTCCTATAGAAAGGGTATTTTGTGAAAATTTCTTATAGAAAGGGTATTTTGTGAAAATTTCTTATAGAAAGGGAATTTTATAAAAATTTCCTATAAAAAGGAAATTTTGTGAAAATTTCCTATAAAAAGGAAATTTTGTGAAAATTTCCTATAAAAAGGAAATTTTGTGAAAATTTCCTATAAAAAGGAAATTTTGTGAAAATTTCCTATAAAAAGGAAATTTTGTGAAAATTTCCTATAAAAAGGAAATTTTGTGAAAATTTCCTATAAAAAGGAAATTTTGTGAAAATTTCCTATAAAAAGGAAATTTTGTGAAAATTTCCTATAAAAAGGAAATTTTGTGAAAATTTCTTATAAAAAGGAAATTTTGTGAAAATTTCCTATAAAAAGGAAATTTTGTGAAAATTTCCTATAAAAAGGAAATTTTGTGAAAATTTCCTATAAAAAGGAAATTTTGTGAAAATTTCCTATAAAAAGGAAATTTTGTGAAAATTTCCTATAAAAAGGAAATTTTGTGAAAATTTCCTATAAAAAGGAAATTTTGTGAAAATTTCCTATAAAAAGGAAATTTTGTGAAAATTTCCTATAAAAAGGAAATTTTGTGAAAATTTCCTACAAAAAGAAAATTTTGCGAAAATTTCCTACAAAAAGGAAATTTTGTGAAAATTTCCTATAAAAAGGAAATTTTGTGAAAATTTCCTATAAAAAGGAAATTTTGTGAAAATTTCCTATAAAAAGGAAATTTTGTGAAAATTTCCTATAAAAAGGAAATTTTGTGAAAATTTCCTATAAAAAGGAAATTTTGTGAAAATTTCCTATAAAAAGGAAATTTTGTGAAAATTTCCTATAAAAAGGAAATTTTGTGAAAATTTCCTATAAAAAGGAAATTTTGTGAAAATTTCCTATAAAAAGGAAATTTTGTGAAAATTTCTTATAAAAAGGAAATTTTGTGAAAATTTCCTATAAAAAGGAAATTTTGTGAAAATTTCCTATAAAAAGGAAATTTTGTGAAAATTTCCTATAAAAAGAAAATTTTGTGAAAATTTCCTATAAAAAGGAAATTTTGTGAAAAAGGGAAAATTTGCAGCAGATATTTTACATAAAAGAAAACATAATTAATAGAAAATTTAAATTTATTTTTAAATTAAAGATAAAAAAGCGCTAAAACTAAAAAATGAAAGTAAATGGTTAACACTATTTTTTTCTTGTTGGAGAAAAGCAAGACAAAAGAAAAAACAATATGAAAAAATCACTTAAACTTGACAGCACTTTTTGCGGTTGCTACAAAACACGTTACTTATTTTAATAAAAACTATTAAAAGTTTATTAATAAACAAAAGCAGTTGCTGGGAAATAATATCATATATTAGATCAGAAAATTTATTTATTTCTATGCATCATATTATAAAAATATACTTTTTTTAGAAAAATCCAGACTATTCTGGCAACTCTTTAGGCAAAACTTGGCTTTACATTTTCCTCATTCACAATAACACGAACTAGACAACAGAAAAAAAAGAAGAAAACAACAAAACTAGTTATTGCATTTCGGCAAACGAACAGCAGCAGAAAACCAAGAAATAACAAATTTCAGCAGCTAAAAGTTTAATCATTTCTTTTTTAGTTTTTTCTAACAACAATTAACATTCATAAAAACAAAGTATTTTTTAAAGTAAACAAAGTATTTTTTTTTTTTGTCAAAAACGTTAACCAAGTAGCAGATGTTAAATAAATTAAAATATTTCATGTCAAAGAATAGAAAAGTAAAATATTAAAATTCTACGGTGTCGGTAGGAGAAAAAAAATCTATAGTAAAAAATTTTCTTGGGTGAAAAAAATTTGCCAAACCCCTTTGGAATTGTGTGAAAACCAACAAAAAAAAGAAGGAAAGGAAAAACACTTCAAAAGTGGATAAAAGGGAAGGTGCAAGTAAAATACAGAAAATAAAAGGTAATGAATGACATTTCTTTACATAGAAATTGTTTTTGTTTTTCCAAATGATTCATGTTGTTTGTGTTATATTTTGCCCATATGGTGGGTTGGTTGGTGTTGTTGTTATTGCAAAGTTAGCAGCTGTGAAAGAACAAAATAGAAAACAGTGTTGTCTAAGTGTGATAAGAATTGAAAGCTTGTGCAAAAAGTTTATAATTTTTGTTAAATTAAAA